GGGTACTCATGGACCAGCACTCAAGTGGAGGAGCCATTAGTGGACCAGGGGTAGGGGCCCACAATTAATTTTTTTTTTTAAATTATTATCTATATATTTTTAAAAAAAATTTGGTATATTTTATGGTATCCACAGTGTTTATTCTATGTCCAGTCCAATCTATCAATTTTTTATTCTATAAAATAGTATAGACAAATACTTAATTAAATATTAATTTTTTGATATAACAAATTTATTTTTTTAAGTTATGAAAATTGTGAGAATTAAGTTACATAATCAAAAAAGTGAATTAATTATTTATAAAGAGAAAGATATTCTCTATAGTATAGATAATAAAGTTGTCATATATGGTCTTTAAAATATGAAAACTCATCAAAATTAAATGTAAATAAGTATAATTGGCCTCTTTTCATTATTATTATTATTTTTTTATATATGCATATTGATATTTGAACCATTGAATTACTATTGAATCTTTCTTTCCAAGGGTCCTTTTGATTAGGAAGAAAAAAATGATAGAAAGTGAAAATGAAGTGAAAGAAAAGAAAATGATAGAAAATATATGTTTATGCAAATATTTGGTTAAAATGAAAAATTTACAAGAAAATTTTTTAAAAAAATTATTTTATTATTTGAAAGAAAGTAAAGTTATAAGAAATTTTTTATAATTGTCTAAATTACACTTAATTATATTAAATTGGTCTAAAATAGAAAAAAAATATGTAATTACAATTGAACATTAAATTTTTTTTAAAAAAAAAATTTGTTCGAACCCTAATTCTAAAACGATCACAAACACAATGGTCTTTGGGCCAAATTATATGATTAATCAAATTCATACCAAAATTTTTTAAAATTAATAACTAATAAAATATTCTAAGAAAAAATAAGAATAAAATAGAAAGTTAGCTATATATCACAAATTTCTTGAATTTCCTTGTATTTTTTACAAGAAAAAAAAATTGATTATTTGTGAGAAAATTCAATCATGAAAGAAAATTATTTTTTCTATCATTTTCCTTTTCATGCTAACCAAATACATTAAAATTCTAAAAAATTTCTCTTTCTTGCATTTTCTACCATTTTCCTTGCTAAACAAACGAACTCCAAGTGTTTCAACTTTGGTTTGGATTCTTCTTGGTGAAATTTTATTCCCNATTCTTGTATTTTCTACCATTTTCCTTGCTAAACAAACGAACTCCAAGTGTTTCAACTTTGGTTTGGATTCTTCTAGGTGAAATTTTATTCCCCCAAAGAAGGGCTAAGTCTATCTAGGGCTCCCTCTGCCCGGAAACAACAGTTTTTTTGCTGAATATAAATAGGTTTCTTGTACAAACTGAGATTTTTTTTTCCAAAGGTGATTGGTTCAACGAGGGAATTCGATGAATTTGAAGCAGCATATATCAGAGGAGAATCCACTGAAAAGGAATATTTCTCTGAAAGAAAGGGAATGAGTGAAGTATAGGAAGCGAAAAGGAAAGGTGGGAGGGTAAGGTAGGTAAAGTTTAGATAAACCAACCACTAGAAATTAATCTGCTCAAGCCTGCCATGTAGATACAAGCTCTCTTTATACTCTCTCCGTTACATGGTACTCGGGGTCGCACATGAGACTTACAAACAAACAGGTAAACATATACCCCAAAAATTCAAATGGGTAAGAGAGTTAAAATCTATAGCCCTTCTAATCTTTATAAATCTTAAGGCCCACAAAGGCAAGTAGAGGATGCTCTGTGGTCTGGTTTTTCTGCACACTAGCCACCAAAAAACTGATGTTGGCCTCTCCTCTGGCACCAGAGACCTCTCTTCTGCACCAGAAGGATTATATGACTTTCAATTCAATATCTTTGCCAATCTTTCTAAATCTAAAAGGCCCACAAGAACAAGTCGAGAATAGTCTACTCATTGGTTTTCCTATGCATCAACCATCAAAACTGAGGCGGCATCTTTCCCTTTGGAAAGCTACCACAGAATATAAGCTGATCCACACAAACAAGAGATAACAATAAGGGATATAGAATGCTAAATAAAGTCTTTATCCATAATCTAGGCCAACAAGAAACAGGGGTGGACCTCTCCCACTACATCAAACAACGATCAATAGAAAATGATGTTCAAAACCAGGTCCATCCACACACTCACCTTACAAACTAAGGTCATGAATCCATATGAGTTCACCCAATAAGAATCTTGTAAATCCCTAGACAAAAAATAACATTCAGATTCAAAGTTGTACAAGACAGAACCATAAAACCAACAATGATTTGTGGTGGAGAGTCTTGAATAAAAACTAACTGTATTTGAAATGAGATTTTGTGAAGATCTTTGGTAAACAATGAATTTAGAAATGAATGTAATCATGAAACGAAAAGAGTAACATCAACAGGAGACAAGTTAAAAAGAATTGACTTAACTGAATAACACATTAAATTGACTAGGTTTTGGTTTTCATCATATAGAACTCTATCAAAAGGGTTTTGGTAAGGATTGGGTTAGTGTCAGTTTAAAACTTAGTGCTAATGGAACTGCAAGCAGAAGAGAGAAACTATAAAATTGAATTATGAGAAATTTGCTATCAATTGAATGAAAAGCCAGTTGAATGTACAGGTATACTGATTAGTAATGCCTGCATGAATTATAAACAAATTGAATCAGTTTGGTACTATAAGCATCAGAGGGTAGACTACGTATTCAGTGGAAATACATATTAAGTTCCCTCCACTAATGAGGTTTCCCTCAGACAGACCAGGATATTTTTTAGATGGGTGGGACAACTATACTGAAAACTATAAAACTTAACAAGCATTTCCAAAAATTGTTCATTTAGTTTTAAAGATGTCACTGCTAAATCGTCTATGCCTAACTTCATAGGCAGCTCTAAATCATTCCTAACTCATATTCTAAGAAGATTTATCACCAGTTTAAAATACAAGTTAGTTTGTGACCAAGGATAAGATTTTCAAGAAAATNACTTCATAGGCAGCTCTAAATCATTCCTAACTCATATTCTAAGAAGATTCATCACCAGTTTAAAATACAAGTTAGTTTGTGACCAAGGATAAGATTTTCAAGAAAATCAGAAACTCTTGTCAAACTCCACAAGCTCAAAAACAAAGTACGATAAAAATGTAATTTTATAGATTCCATTGACAGTACTACATCCTAATCATAGTTATGTCGGACGTTAACACAGCAGATACATTAAGATCATTGCTATTGTATATCTAAGTACTTTACGGTTAGCATCATGGAAGTACAAATCTGGCTCACGAAAGCAATGCTAACCCGCCAATACTTCAAATTTCTCATTCCAAAACTAGGTAATAGTNTACATGGTACTCGGGGTCGCACATGAGACTTACAAACAAACAGGTAAACATATACCCCAAAAATTCAAATGGGTAAGAGAGTTAAAATCTATAGCCCTTCTAATCTTTATAAATCTTAAGGCCCACAAAGGCAAGTAGAGGATGCTCTGTGGTCTGGTTTTTCTGCACACTAGCCACCAAAAAACTGATGTTGGCCTCTCCTCTGGCACCAGAGACCTCTCTTCTGCACCAGAAGGATTATATGACTTTCAATTCAATATCTTTGCCAATCTTTCTAAATCTAAAAGGCCCACAAGAACAAGTCGAGAATAGTCTACTCATTGGTTTTCCTATGCATCAACCATCAAAACTGAGGCGGCATCTTTCCCTTTGGAAAGCTACCACAGAATATAAGCTGATCCACACAAACAAGAGATAACAATAAGGGATATAGAATGCTAAATAAAGTCTTTATCCATAATCTAGGCCAACAAGAAACAGGGGTGGACCTCTCCCACTACATCAAACAACGATCAATAGAAAATGATGTTCAAAACCAGGTCCATCCACACACTCACCTTACAAACTAAGGTCATGAATCCATATGAGTTCACCCAATAAGAATCTTGTAAATCCCTAGACAAAAAATAACATTCAGATTCAAAGTTGTACAAGACAGAACCATAAAACCAACAATGATTTGTGGTGGAGAGTCTTGAATAAAAACTAACTGTATTTGAAATGAGATTTTGTGAAGATCTTTGGTAAACAATGAATTTAGAAATGAATGTAATCATGAAACGAAAAGAGTAACATCAACAGGAGACAAGTTAAAAAGAATTGACTTAACTGAATAACACATTAAATTGACTAGGTTTTGGTTTTCATCATATAGAACTCTATCAAAAGGGTTTTGGTAAGGATTGGGTTAGTGTCAGTTTAAAACTTAGTGCTAATGGAACTGCAAGCAGAAGAGAGAAACTATAAAATTGAATTATGAGAAATTTGCTATCAATTGAATGAAAAGCCAGTTGAATGTACAGGTATACTGATTAGTAATGCCTGCATGAATTATAAACAAATTGAATCAGTTTGGTACTATAAGCATCAGAGGGTAGACTACGTATTCAGTGGAAATACATATTAAGTTCCCTCCACTAATGAGGTTTCCCTCAGACAGACCAGGATATTTTTTAGATGGGTGGGACAACTATACTGAAAACTATAAAACTTAACAAGCATTTCCAAAAATTGTTCATTTAGTTTTAAAGATGTCACTGCTAAATCGTCTATGCCTAACTTCATAGGCAGCTCTAAATCATTCCTAACTCATATTCTAAGAAGATTCATCACCAGTTTAAAATACAAGTTAGTTTGTGACCAAGGATAAGATTTTCAAGAAAATCAGAAACTCTTGTCAAACTCCACAAGCTCAAAAACAAAGTACGATAAAAATGTAATTTTATAGATTCCATTGACAGTACTACATCCTAATCATAGTTATGTCGGACGTTAACACAGCAGATACATTAAGATCATTGCTATTGTATATCTAAGTACTTTACGGTTAGCATCATGGAAGTACAAATCTGGCTCATGAAAGCAATGCTAACCCGCCAATACTTCAAATTTCTCATTCCAAAACTAGGTAATAGTTAAAAACTATATACAAACATAGTTGAAACTTATTCATGATTAAGTTGATGATTCATTCCTTTGCCTGCGCATTCGTGCTGCCCAGGACATATTTTCGCCTGTGTCTTCCTTCATGCTTCTTCTCTTGAGTTCTGAGAGTTGAGACTGCCATCTGATCTTCCATTCGCTTTTCTCTTCCATCTGATTGCCAAAAATGCAATGAGACAACTCAGACAAGGATAAAATCCAAATCTTAAGCTAGCTGATATAGCATTTTACCAAAACTTTTCCAAACCAAAAGGTGAAAAGAAAACCACAAGACAACAAAACACGGAAATGTTCACATAGTTATCCCGAGCATTTTAGATGACAAATTAGTGCTAATACTAGTAAATAAACTAGGACAAAGTCATCTATTCCAAATAAAACTAAATCCATCTTTCCCAGAAAGTAGAAATATTCAGACTTGTCCATATTGGACCACAAACAGAAAAAGGGTCATGTATAGCATAATGAAAGATACAAATTTCAATAAATCATGTTAAACCACTATCTGCTCTAAACATGTAGTCTTCTACACTTTCTCTCACATGCGGACTTGATTTTGGACCAAGATGTGACAGCTATTAAATTATCACAGTTGGGGTGAGATAGGAAGGCATGATCTCCAGCTCTGAGATCATGTTAACACACTACACGCTCTAGAAACTTAAACAGTTATACTTCAACAATTATTATGTGCCTTAACCATATCTTGGCCCTTAAATGAACCAAATACAAAAATAATAATGAAAAAGGTGACTAAAAATTTGTTTCTTAGCATAAATGGATAACACTCTAGCATGTGCAAGTTTCTGAGGTAAACTGCAACGATGGATTTTTCAGATAGCATTCCAAACAGGTTAAGGAGATAGAGGTCATGTTCACAAGGAAAAATTCTCTGCGAAGTAAAGTGTTCTCCAAATCAGAATGTTCTACAGAGTGAAGTCTCCTCCAAATCAGAAGTAGGGGACTGATGGGCTCAGAGGTTCGGGTGCTTTCCGCCAGGTCTTTAGTCTTGGATATGGAAACACAGAATTCTGGACAGTTTACGATCCTATATCCATTAAGTATGGCTTCGATTTGTATATGAACCTTTAGGAACTCTTCCCTTAAAGCCTGTTTACAAGAGTAAGTTAAACCCATATCATGTTAATTGTTATCAAAGCAAGCACCTTTGAGTCACAGAAAGGATAACCGGTAGTCTGAATCAACGTAGTCCTAACTAACTCCTTAGTCACTAAATATTGACAGATTAGGGGAAAGGGCTGTCATGGATTTTGTGGTGGAATGTTGCCGTTCCAAATCTATTAAATACGAGCTCAGATTATATGTTTATAAACTCTTGAGTACCCTTGCCTTGCCAATCTACAAGGGTATTTTAAGGGTATCCATAGTTTCATATCAGTTTTCCCTCATAAGTTTTATATCAAACCAAGGTGTCCTCAAAGATAAAGGACTGTAGCCCCCTCCTACTCATAGAATATATCAATGTTCTAACAGAACTAAGATCCAAAAAATTGATGAAATATAAAAATCGAAAAAAAAAAAAAACTTGCAAGAGAACCAAATCCCCAAGAATCCACATCTACTCTCACCAAAATAATATCACATACCCACATAACAATTTATTAAAAATTTACAACCAACACCAATCCCACCAAAAAGAGTCAAAAACAATTTCCAAAAAAGTATAATACCAACCTCATGATTTTGAAACCGCCTTCGCGCTGAGAACGCTAAGTGAAGCCCCTTGGCCATGTCTCTATCATACGAAGCCCTCCGATTCGGATCAGACAGAGTCTCATAAGCCTCCTGCACCCGGATGAACCTGCGGGTGTATTCGTCAACCCGATCCGGAGGGGAGACATCCGGGTGGTACTTCCGGGCCAACTGCTTATACGCCTGCTTGATCTCCAAAAGAGTCCCAGTCTCTGGAATCCCCAGAAGATCATAAAAGCTCATGAATTCAGAAAGTGGTGGCGGTGGTGATGTGACCGAGGCATCGTTGATTGTGGCCTTGGTGGTGAAGGAAACGGATCGGGTATGAAGGAAGATCCGGTAAAGTGGTCGGTGGGTTCTGTAGGCGAGACGGGGAAAAGGGTGGGGGTGGCAGGAGATAAGGGTGGCGGTGGGTGGTGGGAGAAGAGAGAAGCGAAGGTCGCTTCTAGATATCACTCCATAGTTGCAGCACATTGCTTTTTCTCTGTTTCAAGTTTTCTTCTCTCCCTTGTCGAATGTTTTCTCCTACATATATACGTACAGGATATGTCAATAAAGGCCATGGTGGTAATTTGAGTAATATACGTACAGCTTCTCTGCAAACGGCAGAGATATTGATTTTTTATGAAAAAATTTCAACCACACCGTACTTTTAAAAATTCCTCCAATATTTTTAAAATCTTCACTGTCAGTTTTGTCAGATTCAAAGTTTTAATTAGAATATAATTTTATTAAATTATCCATACTATATTTTAAGAAAAACTTCGTCAATACTACTCCTACACATATTTTCAACGAAACATCATCTATTTAATGAATTTTTTTACATATTAAAATTTTAATCAACAAGCATTGAATTTCAATCAATTCAAATTTTGATATGTAAAAAAATTTTAATTTTAATTTATTCAAATTGTAGTACATAAAAAATAAATTTTAAGCAATTTGAATTGAATTTTATTTGATATGAACTTTAATAAGTAAAAAAATATAATTTTAATCGACTGGAATCGGATTTTAATCGACGCTAACAGTTCAGATTGAGCTCAAATCGGCTCGAATTTTAATACGTAATTTTTTTTAATAGGTTCCAATTTTAATCATTTCAAATTTTAATATGTAAAAAAATAAATTTTAATCTACTTAAATTTTAAAAAGTAAAAAAATAAATTTTAATTAACTCAAATTTTATGTAAAAAGATTGTTTGAGGTTATAAATAGATAATTTTGATATTTTAGATAAATATTTTTTTGTTAGATATAATGGTTTAACTGCGAGGAATGTTATTGATGTTTAAATATAAATTAAAAGAGAAATGGCCAAAATTTTATCTTCTTTCAAAAACAACATCGTTTTGAATATTAAATAATATCATTTTGTATGTAAAATGGCTTCGTCCAGTGGAACAACACTTTTGCAATATTGTAAATAGGGCTGATAATTGAGTCGAGTTATTCGATTCAACTTGAGCTCGGCTTGGCTTGAGTAAGACTCGACTTAAATTTTGCTAGTGTAATAGATGAACTAAGCACGAATAATTTTTTAGACTCATTTAAAAAATGAGGTTAAAAAATTCGATTCGAATTTGTAAAGCTTGACTCGTTTATATATAAAATAGTCGAGTTATTCGTGTTTGATTTATTTTTTAAATGAGCTAAGTTTAAACAATATTTTAAACTCATTTAAAAACACAAACTCAACGAACTCAGTTCGAAGTTGCAAAATTCGTTTTGATTATGAACCCTAAGTCTATAGAGAATTCCAACCCTAATGCAAATAGAGAAATTAATCAAGTTTATCAAATGCCGTATCACAGGTCAATATCATATGGATGTTCTTTTGCCGGATGTTCATCTTCTTCCATGTTTGAAGAAACGGAATGTTGCAGCTTATTGGTCTTCTTGGCCCCTCCATCCAAACTTGGGTTATGTGGACCTCGGACAATTTAAATCCAATCCATATGAGTTATCCACCTTTATCCCTCAAACCAAACACCACCAAGAGATTTTCTGGTTGATCTCAATGGTTTTCCCTATCTCTGAACTATTCTGTTCAGAGAACCTGGGCCCTAGCAGGAGGGACTGTTAAGCTACCTTGTCCCTCCCTCGTTCANGTCTTCTCATTTCCTGAATATCTGACATTTCACATACCTTATCTGATAGCTCAACCTTTTCCAACAGTGTTTATCANAGAGATTTTCTGGTTGATCTCAATGGTTTTCCCTATCTCTGAACTATTCTGTTCAGAGAACCTGGGCCCTAGCAGGAGGGACTGTTAAGCTACCTTGTCCCTCCCTCGTTCACTGTGTTATTATCATCTTATCAGAAGTCTTCTCATTTCCTGAAGATCTGACATTTCACATACCTTATCTGATAGCTCAACCTTTTCCAACAGTGTTTATCAGGTGCTGGATGTCTCTGCCGCTCAAGCCCCCAGCTTAACTGTGCTCACAGCTCAAGCCCCTAGCTTAAGCTGCTATGATTATGGCAGCTCATTGGGCTTAAATTTTGCAGCTCCCATTCATTCTAGAGGTGATAGGTGTAATATTCCTTATTGTATTATGCATGTATTTATTTCCTTTATTTTAATTTTGACCCTATATATTCAGATTGCATCAAGAGATAAGGTATGCACGTCCCCCTAACTAAGTGTAATTTAATTTTTGAATTAATAAAATCTCCTCCCACCGTCGAAGTTCACCAAAAAAGAGATATATATATTAATCAAGCCGAATTTATAAATTTATGTATGTTGAAGTTCAGTTGNGATGTAATTTAATTTTGAATTAATAAAATCTCCTCCCACCGTCGAAGTTCACCAAAAAAAAGATATATATATTAATCAAGCCGAATTTATAAATTTATGTATGTTGAAGTTCAGTTGGCATTGATCATGTTCCAACTTGAATTGAATTTTAATGTAAAGATTATATATTCTTGATGAAGATCGCCTTAACACGAGATTGCAATTATGTGGGTTCAAATTGAACTCAACTTCTCAGTAAAATTGAATTAGGAGGTAGGCCAATCAAAGATGGTGCGATGTTTGAATCAGTTAGCGCTTTGACAGAGTAATGGCATCCGAGGGAGAGCATTACATACGTAAACTATGTTAGGACTCATAGAGGAATAGACTCTTCCAAAGAAGAAGAGTGGTAGTTGAATCTTNCTTCTCAGTAAAATTGAATTAGGAGGTAGGCCAATCAAAGATGGTGCGATGTTTGAATTAGTTAGCACTTTGACAGAGTAATGGCATCCGAGGGAGAGCATTACATACGTAAACTAAGTTAGGACTCATAGAGGAATAGACTCTTCCAAAGAAGAAGAGTGGTAGTTGAATCTTTTTTTCCCAATTCAATTTCCTAGTTATAGGATACATAGTTCTTCGAATAGACAACAATTATACACTAACTGGTCATCTTATCGGCCTGATTATAATTAGTTCTTGTTCACCGCTGGCGAAAATCTTTCTTAATGGGTCGAATCTCATTGGTCAGACATCTCTTTAGAGAAGAATAAGTTTGAATATCATGGCTTATAACCTTCAATGTAACAATAAAATCGCATCATTTTCATTATGTAATATCATCATTCAATAAAAAATTAATTAGTTAGTGAATCTCATTTTTCACATAGGATAATTATTATTTGACAAAAATAGAGTAATAACAAAATTATGTCGGGTCGTATTTATAAATTTTTTATTCGACGATAATAACGTGTGGGACAGATGATATGAAACTACAAGACATTAAATATCTCATAGTTTNTAATAAATTTTAATTAACTCAAATTTTATGTAAAAAGATTGAGGTTATAAATAGATAATTTTGATATTTTAGATAAATATTTTTTTTGTTAGATATAATGGTTTAACTGCGAGGAATGTTATTGATGTTTAAATATAAATTAAAAGAGAAGTGGCCAAAATTTTATCTTCTTTCAAAAACAACATCGTTTTGAATATTAAATAATATCATTTTGTATGTAAAATGGCTTTGGAACAACACTTTTGCAATATTGTAAATAGGGCTGATAATCGAGTCGAACTATTCGATTCAGCTTGAGCTCGGCTTGGCTTGAGTAAGACTCGACTTAAGTTTTGCTAGTGTAATAGATGAACTAAGCACGAATAATTTTTTAGACTCATTTAAAAAATGAGGTTAAATAAATCGATTTGAATTTATAAAACTTAGACTCGTTTATATATAAAATAGTCGAATTATTCATGTTTGATTTATTTTCTAAATGAGTTAAGTTTAAACAATATTTTAAACTCATTTAAAAACACAAACTCAACGAACTCAGTTCGAAGTTGCAAAATTCGTTTTGATTATGAACCCTAAGTCTATAGAGAATTCCAACCCTAATGCAAATAGAGAAATTAATCAAGTTTATCAAATGCCGTATCACAGGTCAATATCATATGGATGTTCTTTTGCCGGATGTTCATCTTCTTCCATGTTTGAAGAAACGGAATGTTGCAGCTTATTGGTCTTCTTGGCCCCTCCATCCAAACTTGGGTTATGTGGACCTCGGACAATTTAAATCCAATCCATATGAGTTATCCACCTTTATCCCTCGTCTTCTCATTTCCTGAATATCTGACATTTCACATACCTTATCTGATAGCTCAACCTTTTCCAACAGTGTTTATCAGGTGCTGGATGTCTCTGCCGCTCAAGCCCCCAGCTTAACTGTGCTCACAGCTCAAGCCCCTAGCTTAAGCTGCTATGATTATGGCAGCTCATTGGGCTTAAATTTTGCAGCTCCCATTAATTCTAGAGGTGATAGGTGTAATATTCCTTATTGTATTATGCATGTATTTATTTCCTTTATTTTAATTTTGACCCTATATATTCAGATTGCATCAAGAGATAAGGTATGCACGTCCCCCTAACTA